TTTGTCGAGGTCGTGGCTGCATTGATTACCTCTTCACTTTGCGTCAGTTGTTGGAGCAGTCATATATATCGGCGGCCAACCGTCGTCGTGTTCCTCGATATCAGAGGTGCATTTGATGCAGTGGATAGACTTACACTTTGGGACTGTCTACTCAGGAAAGGTGTACCTGAGAAATATGTAAATATTATCCGAGTATTATACGTGCGTAGCACGGGCAGAATGAGGGCTTACGCAAGCTGTCGCCATCCTTCAATATCTCCAGCGGTGTAAGGCAAGGATGCCCGTTGTCATCATTCCTCTTCAACTTCGCTATTGACGAAGTCATGGAAATCGCGTTCATAGGACACGAATTAGAAGGTGTGGACCCGCTCCCAGGAGAACGACTTCTTGACTTGGAGTATGCTGATGATATTGCCCTAATCTGTGACAGCTCCCAGACGTGCCAAGCTGCGTTGGACAGATTAACACTGGCTGTCCGTCACTTCGGGCTTTGCTTCGCACCCTCGAAGTGCAAGCTGTTCCTACAAAATTGGTTTGGACTGCCTCCTGCGCTGACCGTTGGTGGGGATCAACTAGAAGTCGTTCAAAAATTCAACTACCTGAGAAGTTGTATCAGCGCCCGTGGAATCTAATATATGATAATGAGCCGTATAACAAAAGCGCCTTGCGCCACCTATGGTGTCGGCGCGAGATCACACCCTGTTGGGTAGAGTGTACAATGCAGCAGTACGTTCGACCTTACTGTACGGATGTGAAACCTGGCCCTTTAGATCAGTGGACATAAAGAGGCTAGTTACGTTCGACCATAGGTGCCTTCGCGATTTGGCTCAGATTTGGTGGAAACACCACGTGAGCAACGAGCGTGTTCGACGCTTCGTTTATGGCACAGGAAAAGGAAATGAACCGCTCAGCACCGTTATTTCACGCACCAGGCTCTGATGGTTCGGGCACCTGTTATGCATGCCAGACCACCGACTGCCGCAACGTAGGTTGTTTGCGCACTAGGGGTGTGAATGGAAGAAGGGGTGGCCAAGCGATGACTTGGTCGAGAGGAATGAAGGCCCTCACTTCGAAGCTGGCCTGGGTTAGAGCGTCTCGGCTCCCTCGTTGGGGTCCGAAAGACGATGAACACGTTTGGCTAGGCACACTTGCTGACATAGCTAGGAGTCGACCTCAATAGCGTACGTGCTGTGAGCTTCTTTGTCCGTCACATCCCTGTTAGCAGCCCCCTCCAACCACTATCTCACAATTTAGGCTTATATAATTTTGCATAGTAATTCTTTTTATGCACAGTAGCCGGCTGGTAGCTTACCGGAACGATTCCCATCCGTTACCGGTAGCTCAGCTGGTTTGTATCTGTTTCATTTTTTCCGTTCTTTTCTTTTATGTATTGCGGCACAGTAGTACGTACAGTCGGACCATATGTTATCTTGATAACACGTATGATCAAGTCTACACTCAGTTATCCTCCATGATACGGTCTGAGCCGAGGAGCGACCGACTATTTCTGCTGGGCGATTACAACGAGCGCGTTGGGCGTGATGCATCGGTGTGGACAGAAGTTATCGGTCCGCACGCCATTGGTTCAGCGAATGCGAACGGTGACAGGCTGCTCTCACTGTGTGCCACTCACGTCCTGACGAGCACGAACACTGGGTTTGCACTGAGTGCGAGTGATATAGCAACTTGGACGCACCCACGGAGTTGTCACACTCACCTGCTCGACTATGTCATCGTACGTCAGCGTGATATACGTGAAGGGTGCATAACACGTGTACTGCGTGGAGCTGAGTATGGCACTGATTACAAACTAGTGTGGACCAAATTGTACATATATTTTCGTAAATCGATGTATTGCACTCCTGCGGTGAATCGGAGTAAGGTTAATATTCTCTCCCTCGATACTGTGGAGAAACGTATTGAGCTAGAGAAGGCGATGGCTGTACGCCTGTGTGATATGGACTGCATAGCCAGTGGGCGACCTGTGGCACCACATTCGCGACCAGGTGACAGCTGTTACCGAGGAGACCACTGGGCGCACAAACTGTAAGCGGCCCGATTCGTTTGATGAGAACAATGCGACGATTGGCGCATTGGTGTCGGAGAAGAATGCAGCATTTGCTGCACGTGTGTCAGACCCCAGTGACTTGGGGAAGAAGAGAAAGTTTGGCAGAATTCGACGACGACTGAGCCGAGAGCTCCGTCTCATTAAAAATGCATGGTGGACGCAGAAGGTGAAGCGCTACGAAAGCCGCCAACAGAACGAATTTTTTGACTCAGTGAAGGCGGTGTTTGGACCGAGGTTGGAGCCGCTGAGAACGCTGCTCGATGGTAGTTCAAGCGCAACGTGTACACAGACTGCAGCCATAATGTAGATCTGGAAAAACACTTTGTCAAAGCAGAAAGAAGACATAGATTGCGATATGTCAACATTCCGACTGTTCTCATCAGTCGCAAACATAATACAAGCAGAAACATAGACACAAATATATACATTGGAAAAAATTGGCACACTAATTAAACTGTCAAAATCAAGACCAAGGCAATCTGATTGATTGCCTCAACAGTTTCTGTGCACATAACACAAGTTAATAAGAGCTAATTAGCAACGCTTCACTGATTGCCAACATTATCGGGTTCCTGATATGTAATAGCACCTTGAACGCATTATTTGGGTTCACATGGTGACCAGTTATCAAGAGGTGTTTGGCGATAGATGATGACGGACTCCGATTCGTTCTGTGGGGCATTCCGTTTTGTTGCGCCATCATGTGTTCGACCCACGTTGGCAAGTGCTCAGCTACTCTCTGAGCCAACCGACGGTTAGTCTCACCTAGGCAAACATCACCGCAATTGCAGGTGAACTGATAAACCATATGAGAGGCCGAGCTAGCCGAAGGGTAGCTCTGATGGTCTTCAAGAACTGGTGTGTGAATCGGCTCCGTTGATGAAACGTAGCCCCTATCCACATGTCTCCCGGTCTTATTCCTCCGGGTTTACACTGGATATGGGATGTGTGGTGCAACGCAAGCCACCCATGGTCTCTCTGTAGGCGCAGACGTCCCGTGGCTGGCCACAGTGACAGGCAAATCTGAAACCGGACGCCGCCAACCATATGTATACATATATATATATATATATGGCGGGAGAGCCTATGGCGCGCTGAGGCTGGTGGAGGCTAGATCCTGACAGATGGTCTACCCACTGCTGCTACTGTTGCGCCATTGTCTCATGTCCTGGGCGCCTCCACGTGGCGACCGCTGGGTGGGAGTTAGGTTTCGCCCTTCTCTCTGCTAAGATACAGGACACGAATCCGCATGAGTCGGCTAACTGACCATGTGCTAGACCCGCTGCCTTTGGGGTT